AATAGATAATTAGTTTTTTGGCAAGTTTCTTTATAAAATGTGATTGTATGGCTAAACTTCATCATTAAAATTAACCACTTTTTTTTCCTCTCCATAGTCAAACTTTATTTTATTTACACTTCTTGCAGCAAAGCTCGCAAAAACATAAACTCCAAAAAAGATTCTATTTTTTCCTGTGGCATTCAGGATATGTTGACCTTTTCCTGTTTTGGTTTGGAGAATTTTCTGCTTTCTATTTGCAATTTGCGTGCTTTTTCTTTTTGAAGTTTTATAAAATCAAAGATTTTCATTAATGTTTCATTAGTGTACTTGTGTAATGTTACATTAGTGTAACTTAAAATGTTATCCAAAGCAAGAATAAAATATTTAAAATTATTTTTAAAAACAGGTTTTTAAAAAATTTGTTAAACTTTGTTCTACAAAATGGTTCATTTAGCAAACCATTATTTTTCAACTTATTATAGAATTTCAATGTAAAATTCAGCTGTCGAACGCTATTTCGAAACGAATACAATACATCATACAAAAGTTATTTAAAAAATGAGTATTTCAAAAGTAGAACTTGAGTTAAAGTTTGACATAGTAAGATATCAATCATGATATTCAGAACTTTTTACTGCGTTACATAAGAAGAAACATTAAGGAGAATAAATTAACATTTAACAAGTCTGTTGTCATTGTATCACTTCAACTTTTTGTTAAATGCTTTGTTACATTAAAGATGCTTACAATGTAGTTTTTGTGAAGTTTTTTTGTACAGTTCCGTTATAAAAATGTGTTATATCAAAATTTTTAATAACAATACCAATTATTAAAGTTGTAAGGAAGCTGTTGCTAAGCATATCTATACCGTTACTAGGGTATTTTTTTGATAAAAATTTGGCGAAATAAGGCTACTTCTAGGACTTCTGCACGCTTTTAATGATCCGAGCACATGGATTTTTTTTTCAGATATTGGAAGATGCATGTTTAAGGAAATTAAATAACTTACACTGTTTATGGCAGACCTATGGCCACGGTTGTTATGGGTAATTTACCAAGGCGCGTTGAACGCAAAAGGTTATTTTTGGCAAGTTATTTTACTCCTTCCCAGGTCCTTGCATGCACATAAAGTTTGTTCCATATAATCAATGTATACCTTAATGCCTTTCAAAAACACTTAATAAAACTACATGCAAGTAATGGCCTTAAGAGATATTAGAGCTCAAAGTTAGGGTAAAATTTCAAATTTGGTGGTTATGGACCATGATTTCTAGACAACTAAAAATGTAACCATGTTGAATTTTAACTTTTACTGTAGAAATCTACCCAGTTTAGCAGAAAAACTAAAAAGAAATGTGTCTGTCATGATCATGTTGCCAGAATTGCCCCACAAAGTAGCAATTGCACTCCTTGCGCAAATATTTTTACAAAATGGGCCAAATTTTGGGACCCAATATCTCCGAAAGGAATAGCAATTTTTGAAAAAAATTTACCAGTGGTCAATTTTCATTGTTTTTTACAAAATATCTGAAAATGAAGACAATTTGAAGACATCACTTCCAGACTTTGCCTGTATTTCTTAGACAATGGCTCTTAATTTCCACATAAATACAACGATTATATTTTGGCCATTTATTTCAATGAAATGTTCCCACTATGCACTGAATACTGAATTTTCTATAATCTAAAATATGCTATCTTATTTTTGTATATTAATTTATTATAGGTATATAGATAAAAATATAGTAAATCAAAAATCTCAATTTTTTTTTTTTGTAAAAATATCTTTGTTCACTTTATCGGTACTTTAACAGTATCGGGTTATGCTCGCAACCGATAATTAAAAAAAAAAAAACTAAAACTAAAATGATTTTTATTAAAGCGTTATAAATTTATATTTACTGCCCAGCGGGCATTTTGAGGTCCAAAGAACGTCCGTAAGACGTCTTAAGTCTCGTTCGTATGACATCCTTAGTTGGTCTCAAATGAAAGGCTTGAGGACGTCTATTCCAGACGTCCTTAAGACGTTTTTTCAAGACGTCCTAGAGACGTTTTTTGCAGACGTTCTAGAGACGTCTCTGGCTGGTCTCATATGAAAGACTTAAGGACGTCTTTTTCAGACGTCCTAGAGACGTTTGAATTTTACCAAGACATTCTTTTAAAAGTTATATAAAAATGCAATGATTTACAACACACACTTTAGATTTGCCTTAATCTAGGCAAGAGAAGTTATAAAAAGAAATCAATGTAAATAAAGTGTAGTTTGATATATTTAAAATACCGAGTTAGCGCTTAATATTGTATGCGCCAAGTTGATAATATAAATTTTTATACTTATTTCTTATAGGTAATTAGGACGTCTATTGTAGGTCTTAGCAACGTCAATAGGACGTCTAAATATGGAAGTCCTAATATCGTCTTTATATTAACGTCACAAGTTCGTCCTAACAAAGACGTCTTTACCGGACGTCTTTAGGACGTCCTAATTTGGTGTGAGACGTCGGGACCTAGTTAAGACGTCCGTAAGACGTTTGATTGACGTCTGTGCCCGCTGGGGGCTTCATAGATTTACTGGGTAAGCTTCATAGATTTACTGGGTAAGCTTCATAGATTTACTGGGTGAGCTTCATATATTTACTGGGTAAGCTTCATATATTTACTGGGTAAGCTTCATAGATTTACTGGGTAAGCTTCATATATTTACTGGGTAAGCTTCATAGATTTACTGGGTAAGCTTCATAGATTTACTGGGTAAGCTTCATAGATTTACTGGGTAAGCTTCATAGATTTACTGGGTAAGCTTCATAGATTTACTGGGTAAGCTTCATAGATTTACTGGGTAAGCTTCATAGGCTTACTGGGTAAGCTTCATAGATTTACTGGGTAAGCTTCATAGATTTACTGGGTAAGCTTCATAGGCTTACTGGGTAAGCTTCATAGATTTACTGGGTAAGCTTTATAGATTTACTGGGTAAGCTTTATAGATTTAACTTTTACTAGATATATTTATTCAACAAAAATAATATTAAAATTAGGTAAATAAGTACATTATTTCACACCATATATTAGTAAGAGCTGTTTTTTTTGTTTTAAATCAGTTTTCATAGATGCCAGTCACAACTCGATTTATGCTTGTTTCACTTATTGATTTAACATGTTGTTCGTTTCCATTTCGTTGTCACCTTTTTTAATATTTGTGAACAGTTTAATAAACATATCAAGAGGTAAACAAAATACTAACAAATTGTCAAGTCTGTTAGCAAGAAGACGGTTATTTTAAAGTTTGACAACCAACATCTCATTTCTCGGCATCTGGAAATTATTTTTTGTATTCAATGACTACTTGTAGCATCACTTATTTTTGTTTTATAGGGAGCCTAGGCATATTCAAAAGATGTTCAACACCTAGCCTAGAAACATGGAAAGGTAAACAGTTTACTTTTTCAGAGTTTCCAAAAAATATATGGCAGCAATTTTTCATCCCATTGAACTAGTGACACCTACAATCAAGGATGTATAAGTTATATGCAATTATTTTTGCTACTATTTAAGCTTGGTAGTTTACATTTATAAATCTGAAAATACGAAAAAAAAAAAATTATATTTATTTGAAAACCAAAGATTTTGTTGTGGTTAAAAGTTTCTTGAAATTACAACTAGGTTCCTAGATTAATAGGTTTGTAGAACTTTTTTGGTCATACTTATCAAATTTCTAGACTTTTTAACTACAAAAAATCAAATTTCTAGACTTTTTAACTACAAAAAAGAAATTTTGAAGATGATCTCTATTTCTAGTACCATCAATGAAATCTCGACTAAGCTTCGTGTTCCTTTTTGCACCATCATTAACAATAGATATATTTTTGATCCATACAATATTTTAGGAACTGAGGATTGTAAAAAACATCTATAGTTTTGAGACGAATTTAAAGCCATTTCTTTGTACTTGCCCTTGTTATGTTAAAATATTTGAAGAGAGGATAGCTTTTACTTAGAAATTTGCTTAGGTGGTTCTGTTGTCTCTCCAATATGTACATTTGACGATTTTTAACACTGAGATACCTCTGACTCTTTGTTCTTAACCAGAGTTTGAGGCATTCGTAACTTTGCTTCAGTTAGGACTTCTTTATCTCGCAAGGACAAAACACAGAGTGGGGGAATTAAGTACCAGATATGGCGCCCCATGATCATAAGCAAAGCATTTCTTATTTTTTTGTTTGCCTTTTTCAAAGCATAGGTTGCCTGAATAGCTTTCAAATCATTGAAGAGAGACTAAGACCTAAAAGATATTTTATGACTCTTGGAACATATCAAAGTGCAATGAACAAACTTGCATCTTTCATCTGCAGAAATTAGTTCATCTGCTATCTTTGGTGATATAAAAAATGAAGATGTAGTGGAAGTTTTTATCGTCTGCTAAACACTCTGCCTCATGACAGAAGCCAGGTTGATGAAACTTAAAATCTTGTATTTCTGGTCCAAGAAAGAAGGATGCTAGTTACATACAGACAGAATACAGACTAATTTATAATAATTCCTGGAAAATATTATATCAGTTGTTGCATTTGTCAAAAATGTCTTCCTCTGCAACAGTGCGAAAAACAGAGCTAATCATTAGACCATCTCAGTCTTTATGCCTAAAATTATGCCAGTAAATTTTGCGTACATTTTTCTCATAACTAACTTTCTCGCAGATTTCTGGTAACTTTTCTTAAGCTTTAAATGAAGACACCTTCTTAGACGTTAGTTTTCTCAACAGAAAGAGCAGCCATATAATGAGATACATGTACTTAATTAATGTGTCTCCTATCAGTGGCGGACTGGCTGTATATATATTACCGGACATGAAAATAATTAAAGGGCCCTCCCGGCCATACATATATCGCAAAGACTGTCCGGTCCGCAACTCTCTAAAAATAAGTCTTAAGAGGAGCAATTAAATCACAGATTAATAAAGTTATATTGAATTAAAAAGTAGAAGTGATGTGCAATTTGCACAGTGCAAAGTATACCAATAACTATTCTTTAAACAGTTTGCTCAATTCAGAGGACGAAGATGCATATCTTTGAATGATCGTATCATACTCAAGGCTATCAAGTAGATTTTTTTCTACAGACATCAACATATACGACTCTAAGTGGTCATTTGACATAGAACTACGCAATCTTGTCTTGATTAACTTTAACTTAGAAAACGATCTTTCACATTCGGCTTGTGTTACAGAAATAGTACATATTATTTTATAAATATGATACAAATTGTCATAGGTTTTGTCGTTGAGTCTATATGCAGCAAGAATTCGTAACACACAAGATGGACACGATCCGCATGCTCCATTTGTATGCTGATAACAGAGCGGTTCTTCTATGTCATCCTTTTGATATGCACTCTCTCTCAATGTTGTTGTTAAGGGCAAGGACAATTTCAAAATCTCATAGTTAGTGACAAATGATAACAATTCGGCCTTTATTTTATCAACGTCGGCATCTTGTAAAAATTTGATAATGCTGTGTAAACTGTTTTCAGGAATTCCCGAAATGGCAAGATCACCAAAGTTTGATGCATCAAAACATGCCATGTCCATATATAATTGTCGATGTGAAGTGAAACGTGACTCAAGACTTTGGACTATCTGATCCATCACCACATTGTAAGTGTGAATTTTGTAGTGTTCCAAAGCTTTAGATTCGTTACATTTGTCTACTGTATGTTTATCTAACATCGTTGGTGTCTTCCGCTTCCGTTTAGCTAGTAGTTCTATCTTTACCTCTAGAATGGTTTCAGTTCTCTGAATGATGTTTGCATTTGCCATCCGTACAAATTGAAGAGCGTTATTATGAACATCATCAAAAAGTCTTGATTGACTTTTCAATTCAATTACGGCCTTCTCCACCATCTTGAATGCAACCAACACATTTAATCCACGAGTTTGCAGGTATATTGAAAGTGGTCCCACTTTTTCAAAAACTCGCAGGTAGGTAAAGGCAGTCAAAATGGTGTCAAATTTCAGGAATGGCATGAGCAATGTCTTAGCTTCATGACGTGTCTTTGTATCAAAATTTTCTGATTCGCTTATACATGACAGACATAAAATTAAATTGACAAACACTGTTGAAGGTGGCTCAGCAAATCTTCCAAATATCGCTGTTGCAGCATTTGATTTACCAGACCACCTTGTTTCACCAATCAATTTCAATCTTTTCATCTTATTCATTCCAATTTGTGTTTCAACAAGTTTAATCCATGTTACCATTCGCTTATATGACACTTTTATGAATGTTGAAACATTTTGCAAAAGGGTTAAAAATGAAACTGCCTGAATGCAGAAACTGGTTGCCTCCTTCACAACTAAGTTGAGAACATGAGCATAACACCAAACATGTACATGGTGGTCTGAAGCTTCTGTAATCTTTTGTTGCAGTCCATTGTACTGGCCATGATAAGTTGAAGCACCATCAGTGCTGTACGATAGGCAGTATTTCAAATTAAAGCCAAGCCGCTGTAGCGTCAAATTTAAGAGATCCAATAAGCCTTGCCAGTACCGTCATTGCTTGGTACAATAGAAAGCAGCCGTTCACGCACAGTAGCATTTGAAACATAGCGAACCACAATGCTGAATTGGTCAATTGCAGATATATCTTGTGTAGAATCAACTTGTACGGAGTGCACTTTTGCTTTGGATACTTCCATTGCAATCTGTTCCTGCATCATATTTTTCATAATATTGAGAAGTTTTGATATAGTAGTCTTACTTAAAAACGTAACCAGAGCACCGCGACCTTTACTGCCGGCTTTACCTTGACGCTTCAGTTTTTCTATTCTTTTGGTTGATTTCTCTTGACACATGGAGAGACGAGAAGCTAAAAGTGGGTCATATTTGGCCAAGAGCTGTACCAAAGCCAAAAAATTTCCATGATTTTCTTCATCGATTGAAAAAATTTCCATGATTTTCTTCATTGATTTTCTTCAACGAATAAGCACCTTCATTCCTATGACCTCGAAATGGCAATGTTTGCTTACATAAATGTTTAATGATATCAATAACTCGAGAAAGCATTTGTTTCCGTATCATTACTTCATCATTATATTTCTTTAATGCTGTACTATAAAATCTGTCAAAGTCTTGATTATTCATTATACGAATGTAATCAAGAACATGCCTGCGGTGAGTGCTGCTTGATTCGTGTTCTGCAACCCGTTGGCTAACTCGTCTAAAATCTTTGAAGCCAGACACAAATGATGAAACGGTGTTAGACTGTGGTGATTCAAATGCAACACAAAATGAGCAATATAGAGACTGAGAATTTTGGCTAAATGACAACCAATTTCTCGGTATGCTATCCTTCAAGTCCGTTTGTCTATGGTAGATCTTGTTATCAAACGGCAAATGTTCATGTGGTTGAATTGGATGTTTGCTAAAAAAACATTTTAACTGCAAACGTGGTGGATATTCAAATGCTGATGTCCTCTGCGAATTCGACTCAATATCTCCACCACCTCGAGCTTGTATTATTGCTGATGTACTCTTCAAATTCGACTCAATATCTCGACTACCTTTTGCTTGTATAACTCCTGATGTACTCTGTAAATTTGACTCAAGATCTCGACTTCCTAGTGCCTGTATTATTGCTGATGTACTCTGTGAACTCGACTCAATATCTCCACCACCTCGTGCTGGTATTATTGCTGATGTATTCTGTAAACTTGACTCTCGACTACCTAGTAAATCTCGACTAGATCTCGACTACCTAGTGCTTGTATTATTGCAGATGTACTCTGCGAATGTGATTCAATATCTCCACCACCTCGCGCTAGTATTATTGCTGATGTACTCTTCAAATTCGACTCAATATCTCGACTACCATTTGCTTGTATAATTCCTGATGTACTCTGTAAATTTGACTCAAGATCTTTACCACCTCGTGCTTTAATTGTCTCTGATGTAATTTGTACATTCGACTCAATATTGCCTTGACATTGTGGTTGTACTGACAAAAATGATGCGATTAATTTGCACTTTTTTGCAGAAACTTCTATCTCTGTCTGTAGTTTTTCTTTGCGCTTTTGTTCTCCAAATTTTGACATGATGATAGTGACCTGAGTTAAGATTTTAACATTTAAAAAATAAAGCAAAAATAAAGATCGTCTCCTTTTAGAAAAAAATGATATTTAGATCTCCCCAAATAAATTTTGTCCAATCAAATATGTTTGAACGGCAAAAATTGCAAATCAAACATATTAAAACTCAAATAAAGACAGGCCACTAATGGCAGATTTTTTGTAAAGAAAGGGGGGCAATGACTCCTTAGCCACGCACTAATTCCGGTATATTTTAGAATCTTAACTATAGCTATAATTTCCAGATCTGTAAAATTCTTGTATTCTTCTTTTATATAATGACTTTGCTTACTGCTGGAATTATTTAAACTATTGGATTTAAACATTAAAAAAATCATTATAAATGAATTTTCTATTGTATTCCTTGAAGGAAATAGAAGAAAAAGAGTAGCGACTACGAACTTATCCTTTTTTTTTTAGTACTTTAACTTGATAGGGGAAGAACATTACGATTATTAATGAAAAAAAAACATGTTATTAAGAAATAATTTGGATTAGACATTTTATAACAGTTCTTACTCTCTTGATCTATAATCATGTTTAAATTAATGTATTTTTAAATTTTGTTTATAATTTTCTGTTTAAGCAAAAAAGATATATACATATTTTTTTCTTTCAACACAAACAGAAGTAGCTGTATTAAAAAATACCTTTTCATGTATTTTATCTCATCCTAAGTTACACATTGTCAAAGTTTAGGATTTTGCTAAAATTTTCGATTTAAGTTTTACTAATTTGCCCTAATAGGGCAAATTAGTAAAACTTAAATCGGAAACCAGCATAGTTAAACTACGCTGAGGTACTTTAAGCTGACTAACACAAAAAGTGTTACTTATGCCTTACATAAACAGTAATGCTTATAAAAAGTTACAGAAAACTTGATCATCCGAAAATTTATTTAATCCTCTACCTTTCAAATCTTATCATTTCAGCCGATTAGTATGATCAATGATCACCTTTAAATAATTATTTCGAGCGCGGAAGTTAACTAAAAGTTTTAGATTAAAAAAAGATAAAAAATTTTATACAAACTAAAATACCAACCTCAAAAGAAGACTAACATCGCTTCAGTAAACTGGTTGATCAAGTGTGTTTTTGTGTTGAACTATTGTTTTTTTAATTTTGAAATGAATATTTAATTCATTTTTTAATTAATTCAAGCACCGCAATTGCAATAATAGTTACAAAGTCAATTCCTTTAGGAAAATCATTGATTATATTTGTATCTGAAAATCATTAACAATTACAAAACCTTAGCAATTTCCTTATGACAATTATATGTAAAACTCTTCTTCAACAATCAAAAACGATTGTAAAGTTTTACGATCATTATTGATTGTCAAAGAAGAGTTTTAGATGAAATTAGTTTTACAGTTAAACTATTCTATTTAGAGAATTTCGCACTTAATAGAGTTGAATAGTATATACAAGAAATTAAAAATAGTTTAACTTTATAATTAATTGTAATTATTATATGTATATATATATATATATATATATATATATATATATATATATATATATATATATATATATATATATATATATATATATATATACATATAAATATATATATATATATATGTATATATATATATATATATATATATATATATATATATATATATACATATATATATATATATATATATATATATAACCTAATATTTATACTATATATATATATATATATATATATATATATATATATATATATATATATATATATATATATATATATATATATATATATTTATATATATTACCTAATATATATACTATATATATATATATATATTAGGGGCCCACCGGCCAAATGGCCGGTGGGCCAGTCCGCCACTGTCTCCTATACATCTTCCAAAACATTGGAATTTTTAAATATCTGTAAGAATTTAGACCAATCCATTAACTACGCTTGCAGTTGTATCACAGAATATTGCTATTGCTTGCAGTTGTATCACAGAATATATCTATGACCTGCTCTCTGCATCCATGATATTCTAAAAGATTTTTCACTTGTTCTGCTTAGTCAACTGCCTTTGAAGAAGGACATTAAACAACACCTTAAAGATCTATGAGTTGTCTAGGGAGCTCAGTGAGACTATAAGTCAATTTTTTGAATGAAATTAAGCGCTGGGGTAATTTATTCAAACAGTTTAATATCAAAATAAAGTCTATCCCACCGGCCTTTAATCATCCGCATAAAATAATGCATTATTAAAAACAAATTAAAAAATAAATAAAAATTAATTTCTGGACGTAGTTACATCTGAAAAAAATCAGATGTGTAATTACATCTGGTTAAAATAATACATTATTAAATTGCTTTTTTCCCGGATGAAATTTTTTTATAGATCTTGGTATCATCCTAATAATCATTTTATATTCATTTAGTAAATGAAAACTTTTAAATTTCCTTGCTCTTAATCTATGCCATGAATTACGCTTAAATTTGATCATTTTTTAAATAAATTTAGGAATGTTAGAAAATAGTGAGATGTTTTTTAAAACCGAGGGTTTCTTAGGTATAGAAATATTGCATAAATCATTATACTTTATTAAGAATATTTTGCAGTATTTGTCCATAGTACTGTTATCTAAAATAAAACTCCAATCAACACTAGAAAAGGCTAGGTTTAATTTTTCATAATCACGATAAGCATTATTTTGCCCAATTGTGGGTGTATTGTCAAGTCACGCAAGTTTTCACAATTTTTAGATAGAGTTAAATCCAGCGTATTTTTTGGTTTAGAGACATTGGTTTGGAATGTTGGTTTGTATAAAAACTGTTGAATGTAATTATCGTTCAAGTTGTCTATAAAAATAGCACTCTGTTCACAGTTTGATTTAAGTATTGTTAATCTATCATCATTCCATCGAATCTCTGGATAATTAAAATCCCCTACTATAATAAGTTTTAAATACTTGTTGCAGTCAATACCATATTTTGCACTACTTATTATATAGTGAGTTGTACGATTAGTTTCAAATGAAGTATCAAGTGGTCTATAAATGTACCCAAAATATTTTCAGCTCTGATAGTTAATGAGCACCTCTAATGGAATTAGTAGCATATAGACTATGATTTAGACAAGACGTTATTAAATTAGCTTTGAAATATATTGCAAAGCCACCGCCCTCTTTATTTTTCCTGTTAACATTATAACATTTTAAGAATAGAATTTCACTTTTCAATAAATTAATTTTATTATTTTAAGATGTTGGATTGGTATACCAGAACTTTAAATAATTTCTTGTTGAAGAAGTTGCAAATAATTTAGAGTTGCTTTTTTTTTTGTAAAAAATTTTGTTGACGTTTTTTAAGCAATCTTTCGTCTTTAACAATGAATATAAAGAATAGAATAGAAATGGCGAGTTTATTAATTCCTCCGAGCTGTTATTTCATTCTTGTATTAACAATTTCCTTGCTTGTCTTTAAGCTATTGTTAGATCTTTAATAATGTATACTTTCCTGTTGTAATTTTCATTTTCTCTTAGTTTTATTGATGTTGATAAAGTTTGATTGACGTTCTCTTTGTCTTTTAATTTAACTAAAATCACACCTGGATTGTTGTTGTTTGATTTTAATCAATGATTTTTTTAAATACATTTAGAATCAGTTTTATAATATTAAAACAATTTAATGATTTCTTCCTTGTCATCTTTAGTTTTATTCTCATATTCATTAGCTTGTGATTTTTGAATACCATAAATTATTATACTTTTAAATTTTCTTTTTCTTTGGTCTTGGTTGATATAGCGTTTCATATACGAACTTCTGTGTCGGCTTTCGGTTTGTTGTTTTGACTATTAGAAAACAATCTTTTTTTGTTAAAAGTAGTTTTGTGTGTATTACTTTTTTCAATTTTAATGATTCTCTTTTCTAATTCTTCATTCTTTATCATTATTAAATTAATATGATCCATCAAACTTTGATTAATTTTTTCTTGAGAAATCTTGTATTCATCAAAATCCCCTTTTTGTGAATTTAACATTGTAGCGTAATAGTACAAAAAAAATTCACGTCCGAACTCCTTGAAGTGCGGAAGTAAAATTTTTATTGTGTGTAAAGTTTTTTTTATGTCTAAAGTCTTTTAATTTACTAATTTTTTTGAATGTATTTTTTCAAAAAGCTTGAAAATGTCATTGTAACCGGGCTTAGTGATAAGACAACTTGTCTTTTTCCTGCTCTGACAAGGTTTTATGTTATTGTAATTTGTTTCTTGTTGTTTTTCGTAATCATAAAAAATGAAAAATAAATAAATTTAAAAAAACTATGTAAAAATAAATCAAAAAGTAATTAAATTGTGTTATATTATAAAGTATAAATTAAAACCATGGCCTACTTAAAATATACGGACTTACATCCCGCATTTTCGCCAAAAAAATAGAAGGCCATTTACTTAAATAGCTGCATCTAAAATATGGTTAACAAATTTTGTGTTGGATGTCATTCTAATTATTCAGGAAATCAATCGATTCCTTTATTTTCTTTTCCATCAAACAAAGATATAAAAAACAGATGGATTCAATTTGTGAACAGAACAAACTGGCGACCAACTTCCTCATCAGTAGTCTGTGTTAAACAATTTGGCAATAAACTTATAAAGAAGGGCGAACATGATAAAAGATTCCGTTTAATTAAAACCTTAAAACTAGTCCCTACTATTTATCCAGATTGTATAGAAACACCATCTTTATTACCTACAGTTTCACTAACAAGAAGATCTCCTAAAAAAAGGGTTTTTCAAGAAGATGAGTGTAAATCATTTTTAACAAATGATTCTATACGTGATTTAGAATCAATCAATGAAGCAGACAGCCCACATGGATATACCTTTTCAAAATATTTAGATTATGTTGTTTTTTATAAACTTAAATTGAACGATGAGTGTGTTCCAGAAGTTATGGAATGTATCAAAATTGATAAAGACTTGCCCGTGAAATTGCTTCTTAAAGGTTTTCCTGTATCTTTGCCACATTGGTTCAGGCATGGGAGCAATTTTAAACTTAGTAAGAAAAGCATGCTTGAAAACTTTCTTTTGTATCTTAAAGGACAAGCAGAAAATATTTGTTTTTTAGATGAACTTAAAATCATCAATTTAAAAAAAGTCAAGTCTATTCAACTGATACTATCCAATATGCTTTACTCCTACGTTCACTTCAATCGTATAAACTTCTTCTTGAACAGTTTACCTTACCTTCACTTTCCTTTTTAAACAAGATAATACAAGGTAAAACTGATTTATTGAAGGTTGCAAAATTATTGATGGAAAATAATTTTTTATCAAAGGATATTATTGTTTTATTTGATGAAATGTATTTGCAAAAGTGTGCAGAGTAAGGTGGAGGAGAATTTATTGGTATCAATGAAAAGAAAAATTTTTATAGAAGTATTGTATGTTTTATGATAAACGGCTTGAAAGAAAATATATCCAGCATTATTAAAGTTTCGCCAGTTGCCGAAATTGACAGTGATTGGTTAAAAGATGAAATTTTGAGCTGTTTAGATGTTTTTACTAAGAGTGGTTTTAGAGTCAGAGGTATTGTATGTGACAACCATGTTACTAAAGTTTCGACCTACTCAAAGTTATTGAAGTTACATGATCAATATGCTCAATAAGTTTGTTTATAAATTTTTAATCACAAAAAGTTTATCTATTTTTTGACACATGTTAAAAAATGTTCGAAATAATTTGTTAAATGGAAAAAGATTTATTTTTCCTAAATTCAATTTTTTTTTTTTTTTTAAGCCTGGTGAAATTTTCTGGAAACTGCACGATGTTTATGAAAAGGATGAAAATTTGGATTCAAATTTAAGAAAAGCTCATAGAACTTGCAATAAAGTTTTACACCCAGGCGAATTCAAACAGAATGTTTAGGTAGCGCCTAATATTTTTCATGAAACTACTATCGATGCTATAAATTCTTATTTTCTGAATTCCAAAAATGTTTCAAGTTTCTTGCATCTTTTCAACGTGTGGTGGACAATCTTCAACTCAAAAGACCAATTTTATTTTAGAAATAGATTTGGAAGAGTAGCAATTCAAGGTGATAAAAAGCCTGAGGTTTTGCGTGCAACGGCACAGTGGCTTTTAACTTGGGGAAGCTTAAATATTTCTAATCATCGCCAAATGAGTGGTGGCCGGTTTCTAGTAAGCTTTAAGGATGTTTAATATAGTGAAAGAATAATAAAAATTAAAAATTTGGTAAACGAATCAGTTAATATTATATTATAGAATATGATATCAAAGCTGATGGGACGAAACATTTAGATGAATTTTTAAATAAAATAGAAGATATTAACTTTGAAAAAATTATACTCTCTGATGAATCACGTGAAGTTGCAGTGTAAATTGCTGGGTATATTGCAAAAAAATTAGTAAAAAAGTTTAGAGAATGTTGCAAAAAATTTAGCATCTACAATAATCTTTCATTAGATTCACAAGATACACATTATTTAAATATTTTATCAAGAGGTGGAATGATACCAATAAATTCCACATTGGTTCAGGCATGGGAGCAATTTTAAGATATGATGATGGTACTAAGATAGTACCATCATCATATCTTATTGGTTACGTTTGTGACGGTTTTGCATATATTGATTGTGTTTTTGATATTATAAATAGTTCAAAACTGCAATACAGAAAAGCTGCCAAACTTGTTCTCAATATTTCAATGAAGTATGAAGCATCTTTATGTTTCACCCACTGGGTTAAGGGGCGAGATCATGTGCACCATACTATTTCCAACATATACTTTAACAACAATAGAAAAGTTATTACTGACTTGGTTCGTAAGGACAATATAGTTGCTTTTAAAAAAAGACAAAGATTCAAATATTTTTTAATACATATTTTTTATTTGTGTGAGTTTTACTTATTTCATGCTTTTTGCTTTGTTTTTCAGAGTTAATTGCTTTGAACAAATTTTAATAAGGGAACGAAAAACCGACCATGTACAGTGATCGGACTTCTGCGGTGATGGTCGGTTATCAGCAGTCGGTTATTCCGGGACGCGGTGATACATTGGCGGTGACAGCGGTTAGAGGTGTGTGGTGATTGTCGGTGATTGTCGCTTAGCGGTTTTTAGTTTTCAGACCATCACCGCAGAAGTCTGATTACCGCAAATGATCGATTTTTCGTTCCCTAATTTTAATGTATAAGTAAAAGAAAATTTGATATGTTTCACATGTAATTTATTTGGTTCAAATTTCAATTTTCTAAGTGATTTCGACTATCAAACAATTGTAATGTAGAAACTAAATATATATATATATATATATATATATATATATAGATTTATTAGGGTATGAACTTCATAGCTAAGTTCCAATTTGGGATGTTCTGTGAGTAAGACCATTAGGACGTCTCAGGGGACCTTAATAACTAGATTTATAAAAAGTTCTATTTTAAATAAATTTATAGATTTATCTAAAACAAACAATTCAAAATTGTTTTTAAAAACACTTGTAACCATTCATTAAAATTTTAATATAAAGTTTCTGGTTATAACAATATGATAAAATATTAATATACAATAATGGTTTATTAACCATAGAGTCGAGTTAATTCAAAAAAAAAAATTACAAATTTATATTTATTAACTCCTTTAAACATTTGACGCGCGTACTTTCTTTTTTCTTTTTTCTTTATTTAATTTTTTTTAAATCATTTATCTTAATAACAAATAAAAAATTTTTATATCATAGTTCTTATTTAAAGTTCCTCTCAAATCACTTTTTTCTCATATCATATCTTTACGAATCCAGTTTCTTTAAAATTTTATTTAATTATTCTTAAAAAATCTAAAAAATTGAGCACGAACCAAAGTACGTAAAGGAAACCTTCATTTATCTACTTTTTTAAAAAATTGATGCTAAATATTGGTTGTCAACTGGATTAGATATCGTTCCATTTGGAAAAGTAACAGTCAACGAAAATGAAGTACCATAAGCATTACCATAAACAGCTGTTGGAATAGCAATCAACATTTCCAGAAATATTTTTTTGTTTTTTTCTATATATATTCCTGGACTTTTAATTGATCTAAATTATAAAATTGAATAAAGTTTTATATTTTTTACATAAACAACATATATTTTAAAATACAACACATTTATTAAAAAACTATTTTTTTGATATTTTTATTTAAATATTAGGAGGCGAAAAAAATTTACTCACGGAGCGCTAAGATACATTCGCCTGTCTTGCTTCCCAAATGTCGAAACGTATAACACGCAGTGGTAAGAGCAAGTTATAGTAAAATAATAGGTTCCAGTTTCCGGTGGGACAAAGTAAGCAAATGCTTGACCACCCAGATTGTTACTAATAGAACCTCCATCGTTAAATGTTAACAAACACGAAGAGCTTGAAAACCCTGTTTTCTGTTTAAAATTTGCTTCTTGTATAAAAGCTTGAACTGGGACTCCATAGCTATACTGTCTAGAATATCTTAGCAACACAACTTTAAGTCCTAAACAACAAAAAACATAGAGGATACAAATATAAGAATTATTGAATCTCCCTTCTGTAACACTAAAACTAATCTGTTTTGAATATTTTGAAAATAAACTTTTTAAAACATTTTTTTAATACTCGTCTAAACTATAGATTTTTATTAAAAATTAAAATGGCTTAACTGAACCTTATTTTTAACTTTCAGAAGTTATAAGATTTTGATTTTTAATCAACTGCTTTTAGATTTTTATGTTTACAATGAAAAATAACATGAACTTCTAATTTTTCAACACACTCAGATTTCAATCTACAGGAAATTAAAACGACTTTTTACCCGGACCGACTGATTTTTTTATCGGCTAAAGTAATATAATGCCTAATAATAATAATTAAATAATATTCAAAACATAGCACTTCATATCGAGAGCCAAAAATATGGAATCCCTTTTAAAAAGGATTCAAAGGTATGGTAAATTATCAAGTTAGTTCAAGTTTACAACAAAAAAACAAAGTCAAACCCCAAAAAAAAAAGTCGATATAACTATATAAATTTTGTCAATATAAACTGTGCCTATGGCAGCCAATAAATGTACACTCCGTTGCGTCACCCTATCGGCACATCTAATTTCTTTTTCGGAAATAAAGCCTATATAGACACGTGTTTTTCACGATCGAGACGTAAACCAAAAGCACGTGTATATTACGGGCAGTTTTACTAGAGTTTAACACGTGATTTTTGAGGTTTTAAAGTAAAATTTAAATGTCGCATATTTTTATCAGTGGTTTCACATTCCTTACGGAAAGTTATTAAAATATAATACTACGTTTCCATAACGGTGAAACCATTAATACTTTAACTGGTATTTATGGTAAATAGTAATAGTTAATTTCACGGAATAAAAACCATTTAGGATACGTGTTATTCTTTTTGTTTTAGAAGGTTTTAAAAACGCAACAGAAACCAAGCGTAACTATTTTCTGAGTTGTGCCGGCTGGGCAAAATCTAGATAATTAGTCGAAAACTAAATTAGTTGACGTCAGTAAAGTATAACATCTCAAAAATTGGTTTAAAAAAATGGTCAAAAAAAAAGTTGACTATAATCAACTGATGAGTTTAGGTCTCAGTGAGACATCTGAAAATTACTCCCACTTGTTTGCAGATGTTGTTATTTGTCTATCAAATTATTAGCTTTTAGTATTTGAATATCTAATTGTGTGACACAAAAATTATGACCAACCAAAATAACTTAAAATTTTGAACAAATTATTCAATTTGTTTGAATTTTAATATATATTAGTATTAAAAAAATTTTAAGTATTTTTCATAAAGTTTTCTTTCTTAAGGTTTTCTTAGATCCATGAACTATATAAAGTTTTGAGATTGATTTCGATTTACTTTTTAGGATACGATCAAGTAAATTGAAATCAAACTCAAACAATTTATTTGCTTCTTTACAATCATTGTGTTGTTTTCAGTTCACTTTAAGTAAATAATTTTTAGGTGGCACTAGACCATTAAATGTTAAAATTTTTCGATTTTTTTTTTCTTCAAGTTTAAAATATAGAACTATTATAGATTTCAAAAATAAATATTTTTACTATGAATTTGCCTAATGCTATCAAAAACTTAATGGATCCAATATTCAAGGAACTTTTATCAATATATTACATAATCATAGAAAAATCCTAATGAGTCCAATAACCAAACACTTTGGGAAAAATTTCCTTTAACCAGTTTTCCTTTAACCAAGTCCTTTAACCAAATAGTTCGGGAAAAATTTTAGAATTTTTTCAGTAGTTATATATTATTAAATGAGGGTTACGCTAAAGAAACATTTCAACATCTTGCATTCTGTTGGGAAAAATATTTCCTTCTTGGGAAAAACACAAAAAGCGAATCATTCATATGGAAAAAAAGAAAGAGAAGTTACAAAACTGAGAAGGAATAAGCCGAGAGGTATAAAAAAAGGATTTTGTATTGATGACTCATATGTGTGCGGAAATTTTTAAAGATATTTAATGTTTATATTTTTTTTTTAATTTTTTTTTTCTCTGTAAACGTATTTTTCAACTTTGAACAAGTTAATATTTTAATTAATATTGTTAAATATTTTAAGCGCCAACACAAAAGTTATATATGATAGGTTAGATAAAGTAGATCTAAAAGTTAATGATTATGCAAAACATATAAAGACATTAGAAAAAGACGTATAAGAAATCAAACGAGGCTTAAACTCTCACGAACATCATTTGAAGAAAAAATTAAGACCTCAATTGCTTCTCAGGAAAAAAAACATCTGGCATCGATGAGCTAAATCATAGTTCCGACTATGTTAAAAAGTAAACTAAGAGAGATGAAGGATAGATCTCGCAGAAACAATTTAAGGGTTGACGGATTAAAAGAAAGCGAAGGTGAAACGTGGAGTGACAGTGAATTAAGTCAGTAAAGTTTTTGAAGAGCATTTGGGATTAACAAATATTAGGATTGAAAGAGCTCATAGAACTGGCCAGAGAGATATGAGCAAACCAAGAACAATTGTAGTAAAACTGTTAGATAATAAATTTGAAATTTAAAAAAAAACATCTTAATTAAAAGGTAAAAATATTTATATTAACGAAGACTTTTGCGCCGAAACTGTCACAATTAGGAAAACTCTACGGGAACAGATGAAGGTTGAACGAGCGGCTGGGAAATAAGCATTTATCTCTTACGATAAGTTGGTTATTCGGGATTGGGCTGCAAACAAAAGTAAAAACTTTTCTTTGTAACATATTTATATATTCGACAATTTTATTTTACTTTTTTTATATATTACTTTGTTTAATTATATTAATTTTTCTTATAAAAATGGAGGCCAATTTTCCACTTAATTTAAATGATGAGAATGCTAGTGATGAAAACTATTTTAATGGAAAAAATTTAGAAAGCGAGTATTATTCAATTTTTGAATCTACTCAATATCTCTGTCAGAACAAAAATACATTTTCTATTTTAAATGTAAACATTCGAAGTATTAACAAAAATTTTGAAAATCTCAAACTTTTACTGCATCAACTAAACCACGAATTTAAAATAAATTAAAATAATCATAGAAACTTGGCTTAAAACCAACGAAAAAAATTCAAACTTTGAGTTAGGTAATTATGTATCAGTTCAACAACCACGTTTTAACTATGCTGATGGTGGTATAAGTATTTTTGTCCACAAATCAATTAGCTTTATTCTCCGTCCTGAACTCAATATTAATGAAACTGATTGCGAGTCATTGTGCATAGAAATTATAAACAAAACCACCAAAAATATTGTAATTAATTCTAATTATAGACAACCAGCTGGTAATATAAGAAAATTTAAAACTTATTTAAGCAGTTTTTTAACCAAAACTAGCATAACACGGAAACATGTTTACTTGGCTGGTGATTTTAACTTAAATTTACTAAATTATGCTTCAAATATAAATTTCAACATTTTGTAGATACTCTTATAGAATATAACCTAATACCAACAATAAATAAGTCAACGAGAATAACTAAGACCTCATCGTCACTACTAGATAATATAATTACTAACAATTTTCAAAACTGCCGTTTAGGAACAGGCATAATCAAAACTGATTTAACTGATCACTTTCCAATATTCTTAATTACTGATAACATAACCCTAAATAATGTCCCTTCAAACATTACAATCTTAACACGACAGATCAATGAAAACTCATTGTATTATCACTTTGAATGTTATTTTACAATCCCATGAAGTCAATACTGCATATGAGCTATTTTTAGCGTAGTTCTGAAAACAGTATGACATAGCATTTCCTGTTAAAAAAATTGTTATAAAATCCAAGTTTCTTTTAAACCCCTGGATGACCAAGGAAATCATAAATAAAATTATCAAAAAAAATAAAAAATTTATGATAAATATTTAAGACATAAAACATATAAAAATGAAATAAACTACAAAAACTATAAAACTTATTTGAAAAAAACAAAAAACACTCAAAATTTATTATGCAAAGTTGTTGGAAAAAACTAACGGCGACACGAAAAAAACGTGGAATATAATTAAACAAATAATTGGTAAAATAAATGTGAAAAAAATAATCTCCCTGTGAATGTGAAAAATGTGAAAAAAATAATCTAAAAAAAAAATAATCACAAAAGCTTTTAATTGATGGGGAAATGATTTACGATAAAAAAAATAGCTAAAGAACTCAACTCATTTTTCTCGAAGTAGGGCCGAACTTGGCGAGTAAAATTCCGTCAAGTACCACAAAGTTTGAATCTTATATTAAATCATGTAATTCTATAATGGATGAATCTAATTTAAATCTAAGCGAAATAAGGAATGCAATCAACAGTCTTAAAAGTAATAAAAGTGCGGGCATTGACAAAATTAGTGCAAATGTTGTTAAGTCAGTCTTCGATATCATTGAACCGTCATTATTTCATATTTTTGATCTTTCATTAAAGCTAGGTGTTGTGCCGAAAAAACTCAAAGTTGCCATAACACTCCCATTTTTAAATCTGGTGACTAAACTAATATTAACAACTATAGACCTATTTCCGTTTTACCCTGCTTCTCAAAATTATTGGAACGAACTATGCACAACAGACTTTACAACTATTTGATTTTAAACAGTTTGCTGTACAGTAAAACAATTAGGATTTCAAAAAGATAATTCAACAAACCATGCTATAATCGAACTAATTAATCATGTATTGGATGCATTCAATAATGACTATTTTAAAAAATATATACTTTTCATTTATTCATAGATTTATCTTTTACTGCAATATTGTATGGGGTAGTACTAACTATGGTAAGTTGAAAAAACTTTATAGTAAGCAAAAACATGCATGCAGGATTATATTTGGTGCCCACAGAACTTTTCAATGTGAACCTCTTTTAAGGAAGCTCGGCGCCCTAAGTGTCTATAAACTTAATATACACCAAGTTCGACCATTCATGTTTAAAACTAAACTTGAACTCTCTCCTATTGTATTTCAGTTAAT